TTCTTGTTAATTTAACCATAATACGAGAACTAACCTTGACAACAACCATGAATTTTAAATTTCTACGTACGTACGTAGGTAGGTTAGTGGTGCCATAAAAATGTCGCGATGACGTGATAGTCGACCCTTTCCGACTCATTTGATAGTACGAATTTGATACTGATCAAATAGCGATAGCAATAACATTTACATTATATTAAATTGATATATTGATCATATATCAATCATCAATAAATTAATAATGGGTCGAAGATCACATGACTGTGACATTTTTATGGCACCACTAACCTACCTTACGTAAGTACCAACTTCATTTATGCTACACATAAAACTCCGTTCCTGTAAGCGTTACAACAGATGTGAAAATGTAACATTGATATGCAGTCACATCCTTGCTTCGCCTCATGCATTATCCAATCATATGCAAGGTTTTGCGTACGAACATCACTTAATTTGCGATATAACCATACACTACGTGAAATTTTCAAAATCACTCCGTTCCTGGTATTCAATAATATATATATATTTATCCTTTATAAAACTTACCACTATATTATTTTTAGATTCAACCTTATTTACTTATTTTTTATACTATACCATTTTAAATTATATAGATACGTACCTTTATCCCGGAAGCGAAGCGACGGGTAGCATCTAATATTAATTATAATCCTCGATCAGGTACGTATACCGATACGTAGTGCATAAAATTAGATTAACAGATAAATCTCAATATAGGGATCATACATAATTTAACCTGTTTTAGATTAAGTCTATTACAAGTTCATAATACAGCTAATTGTCAAGAAATCATGCAATACGTACCCTTAAATTAATTGCCGAAAATAGTAAGCCGATTTTAAAACTTCTGAAGCTGTGCACAGCCACAAGGTACTGTACTAATGAGAAAAATTAAGCGTAAGAATTTATAAAATTTTTATACTTACCGTTATCTCTATTTCTTTAAATAGGATAGAATTGTATAACGTTCGATTATATTAATTCTTAAGTGCATTTAATATTCTTTAATATCAATCAAAATCAGCACACTGATTCAGATCTATGAGCTCTATGTCAGTCCCTAGTACCCGTTAGTTAGCATATGATCGCCCTTTTTGTCTATATTATTGCATAGCACGCTAGTGCGCTACCGTGCAATAAGTGGTAAAAGTTAACTAATTTCGAAAGTTCGAGATAATACGCCAACATGTTGAGCTGAAAATTAATAATTTTTAACAAGCCAACGTGTAGCACGTCAACAGGTAGTATAGTTGTCCTAAATATATATAAACACAGTTTTCGAGTTTAATAAAGACAGAGATTCCCTTCGATTTTACCTGTAATGATAAAGGAAGTAAGCTGGTGTAAAACCGAAGAGACCTTTAGAAAGTAAAAATTGAAAACTTATCTCTCAGTCGCAAAAATTTAGATATAACTATTAGAGATAAATCGGCCTGTTCAATCTAACTCTCCAGAATAATAGTTACAATAGTCATCAAAACTTATCTTCTTGTGTACTTGAATCATCAATGGTGTACAAATATTGTCGATATCTCAATATTAATTCCCATTACCGGCAACAGAAGCTTTCCCTAATGTGGAATAATAGCAAGAAGGACTAACATAACCAAAATTCTTTGGACACATAATGATCGCATTACATATTAATCTAGCATAGAGGAATACATGATTTGGTCTATGGCACTAATAATATCATAATTTATATTCATAAATCAAAATGTGACGTGTGAGACATCTTAGTGTCAAAATTGAAGCACAATTAGCATTTAAAGTCATATATATTGTAATAATTAATAATTACAAGCACTATGCACCTACTTTTATTAAGAACTTTAACATTAACTAAAATCAAAATATTTTCTATTATTTTGTTAAAACTATAACGTTTAAATTATTTTTATTCGAAATTAAAACATTGCGAATTTCTTTTTTTGATATGTTTTAATAAGAATAGATAGTTATATCCCGTGTTTATTATAAGAATATTTAATATTTGTATACAATCTGTTTTTTTTCTACTGAGCTGAGATGACCATTATTATGATAAAAAAAATTCTCAAAATGGTTCTTGTGGAATAAATTACTATTTATCTCCTATTACAGTACAGTATCAACCGTGACGTAACGACAAGTGAAATTTGATATAACATCCATTACATTAACTACATTTTATCGGTTTTGACTTAGGACATTATCCGACATTTTTCTTATGGGTGATACGACTATTTAGACTAATATTAATTTGTCAGCAGTTTGTCAGTGATAGTTATCGCAGTTGGCCTTCATTGTGTCTGAATATTATTATTGTTCATAACAAAACATCCATTCTATTAGAAGGTGCACGGGATAAGAATTGCAGAAGCAACGGAATATCACGCGATTATGGTTTAAGCTCTTAAAAATTTACATTTTGGAGATGACACAATGTCAAGAAGAAGAGTAAATGATCATGTTACTCGAATACATAAAATTCAAAAACTTTAAAATCAAATCCAGCGACTAACGTATCACCTCGTGACTTGGTAATTGTCATTGTTTGCATAATGGGAAATATTTATTGCAAATAAATTTAGCGTTAAATGAAGAAATCAGAACAGAAATTTATGTGGTTTTCATATAGAGAATTATATATTACATTACATATATTTTTCTCTAAAACTATACGAAACTTTTATTCCTTGTAAAAAGAATGGAACCAACAATTGTTAAAAATACTATTACTTTTGATACGGATATTGTTGATATTATTGAAATTGATGAATTTAAACCGTATGTAAAGTCCCTTAAAGTTAATAATTCTGAAGAATTTGAACAGAATATAGAATTTATCAAAAGTAATAATTCTGAAGACCAAAAACATGCATTTGAATGGTTTTTGAAATTAGCAGAAAATGGAAATCTTTATGGACAACTATTTGTAGGTGATTGTTATCGTTTTGGTAATGGAATTGTCAAAGATGACAAAAAAGCATTCGAATGGTACTTAAAATCTGCTAAAAATGAATGTCATCATGGGCAATACAAAATTGGATTATGTTATCGAACTGGTGTAGGTGTTTTTAAAGATGATAAAAAGGCTTTTGAATGGTACCTAAAATCTGCCGAAGGTGGTAATATTCACGGACAATATAACGTAGGCAGTTTCTTTTTAAAGGTGTAGGCGTTGCTAAAGATGATAAAAAAGCATTTGAATGGTTTCTGAAATCTGCTGAAAATGGAAATCCTAGCGGCAATTTAATGTTGGAAGTTTTTACAGAGGCGGTATCGGTGTTACCAAAAACGAGAAAAAGGCGTTTGAATGATACCTCAAGTCTGCTGAAAATGGTTATTCGTTTGGTCAATACTGTGTTGCAACATGTTATTTGAATGGGGAAGGTATTAAAAAGGATGAAAAGAAAGCATTTGAATGGTATCTAAAATCTGCCGAGTGTGAAAACTCTCTTGGACAACATCGAGTTGGGTATTGTTATCTCAAGGCATTGGAGTAAAACAAGATGAAACAAAAGCAATTGAATGGTTCTTAAAATCTGCTGAAGGAGGAAATTCTGATGGGCAACTTTATGTTGGGTTATTATTTGATGGTGAAATAGGGGTTATGAAAGATGAAAAGAAAGCATTTAAATGGTATTCGAAATCTGCCAATAATGGAAATCCTGAAGGCCAATATCAAGTCGGACGTAGTTACGAACTTGGTAAAGGGATTATTAAAGATGAAAAGAAAGCATTTGAATGGTACTTGAAATCCGCTGAAGCTGGACATTCTGGCTCGAAACTTAACGTTGGATGTTTTTATTACGAAGGTATAGGCATTGATAAAAATTTAAAAAAAGGATTCAATTGGTTTTTAAAATCAGCTGATGATGGAATGATCAAAGGGCAATTATACGTTGGAATGTGCTATCTGAATGGTGATGGTGTGGTTAAAGATGAAAAGAAAGCAGTTCAATGGCTTTTAAAATCAGCTGAAAATGAAGATGTTGAAGGGCAATTCAAAATCGGTCAATTCTATGAAAATGGCACAGGAATTAGTAAAGATAATAAGAAAGCCATTAAATGGTACCTTAAATCTGCCAAGGGTGGAAATTCTTATGCTCAACATAAGGTCGGATTTTGCTACCAAAATGGCGTAGGTGTTTCAAAGGATAAAGAGAAGGCTTTTTAATGGTATTTGAAATCTGCTAAAAATGGGAATTCAGAAAGTGAATTTTGCGTTGGGTTATGCTATGATAAAGGTATTGGTGTTTCCGAAAATAAAAAGAAAGCGTTTGAATGGTATTTGAAATCTGCAGAACATAAAGAAACTATGGGGCAATTGGCAGTTGGTGATTGCTATAATGTAGGTATGTATGTTGACAAAGACAAGAAAGAGGCATTTAAATGGTACCTAAAAGCCGCAAAATCTGGGAATCCATTAGGACAAGTCATGGTCGGTAGTTTTTATTATACGGGAATTATTACTAAAGACGAGAAGAAAGCTTTTGAATGGAGTTTAAAGTCTGCTGAAGGTGGAAATGCAGATGCACAACATAATATTGGAAGTTTTTATTCTAATGGCATTGGTACCGTTAAAAATGAAAAGAAAGCATTCGAATGGTATTTAAAATCTGCTGAGAATGGAAGTTCAGAAGGGCAGTTGAAGGCAGGAACTTTTTATCAAGAGGGTACTGGAATTGCAAAAGACGAAAAAAAGGCGTTTGAATGGTACCTAAAATCTGCAGAAAATGGTAATTCTAATGGACAATGTAGTGTTGGAATTTGTTATGAAGCTGGCATAGGATGTATGAAAGATAAAAAGAAAGCATTTGAATGGTATTTGAAATCTGCAAAAAATGAAAATTCTCATGGACAAGTATGTGTTGGAAAATGCTATAGAGACGGTATAGGTACTATAAAAAATTATAAAAAAGCATTTGAATGGATTTTGAAATCTGCCAAGAATGAAGATGATAATGGGCAAAATCTTCTTGGAAGTTGCTATGATGAGGGTATAGGAGTTGCAAAAAATGAAAAGAAAGCATTTGAGTGGTACCTGAAATCAGCAGAAAATGGTAATAGTGGCGGGCAATGCAATGTTGGATGGTGTTATGAAAAAGGTTTTGGTACAATTAAAGATGATAAAAAGGCATTTGATTGGTATATGAAATCAGCAAAGAATAATGATCCAAAA